CAGACATCTGTGTTACACAAGTCAAACAAAGGGTCTTGACATGTTCCAGAATGGATCTTTTGCTTCCAAAGAAGCCACAGAATGCTGGGTTTTATGCTTTTGATTATGAGGGAACTAGAAAATTTAACACAGTAATTGCCTGTGCAAAGGACTGCAGCATGGCTGTGACTTTCAATTGCCACATCCATCACCAGCATGGGCAGGGTGAAATCTTACATCTTGTGCTTCAATGGCAAGCTACCCTGCAGCACCCATGGAGCCTTATCCAGCACAGGAGTATCCTAAACTTTCTTACATAGAGCTGGAGGAGCCCTACTGTGCCATGCTGGGCTGCAGGAAAAGCTGGGCACTGACAGGGATGCAGGAGGTAGGGACTAAAGCACCTTCCCACATAGATTCCAGTGAGAGCTGCTTCGTGTGAGTCTGAGGTTATCAAACTTGTCTTTGAATCAGGACTACACTGGCCTGCACTAGATCTGAAATCATTGTGGCCATAGCTGGAACTGCCTGCTAAACTTGAAGCAAAACACTTAGAGTTTCACTCCCTGGCAACCTCCATTGCAGGTATACTCTGAACTAAAGCATGAGAGCATCAGCCACCCTTACAGAGGTTCAGCAAGGAAATTGGTTGGACACTTAGCTCTAGGCCTTGACTGCTGCAACATTGCTCACAGAATATGAAAGTCATGCTTGGCCACTCAAGTGGAAAGCTCATGAAGGCTCACTTCTCAAACTGCTCTAGATAAATCCACAAGGTCAATGGTTTTATGGTCTCTCATTTGGGCCAAGCATGACCGTACCCAGTCAGCAGGCATGGCATGGCATGGCATGGCAGCTGAACCTTACATGAAAAAGCACAGGTACACGTGACAGGACCAAGCACTCTTCACTAAGAAAAGATTATTTAAAAATAAGTCACAATCGGGAACGTCCAACAGCAAATGCACCTTTGATCAATTTTCAAGGAGATTGTGAATATTCTTTCACAAATCTAAATGCCCAAATAAGTTCCAGTTTTAATTTCTAGTTTTTATTATTAAATGAAGGAGAAGAATAAAGGAAAGCAGTGTCATTAGATTAATATGCATACAACAACTGGCAGGGAGCAATTTGTTTCTGTTTTAATCAATTCAGCATCAAATGACCATTCCATTGGAAAACCTTCAGAGAAGCAAGCAGGCAGCAAACACAGGGATTTGACAACACAGCAATCTGCTGTCACTTGGATATTCATAAGCAACAAATCGCTCCCACCTTTAGATTTTATATCATTTGTTATAAGAAGTCATAAATAATTGAAAGTCACATGATAAATTATTCAGCTAAGCCCACAGTTTCCAAGGAATCCTGGCATGAGTCTGGATTAAAGCTATAATGCAAGTCAGATGCAGAAGCTGAGCTGACACCCCACAGTTACCACACAGTGGAGCAGTCCAGGGAGTTTGGCACTTGTCAGCATGTCCTTTCCACCACAGGGACACATAAATGCCTTGTGAATATTTATGAACTAGAAGTCCCTATTGCCTACTGTGTGTTTCAGCTGCTTGCCCATACTTGGTTATGAATCAGTGACACTTAACCCAGAGCTTCCCTCAGCACAATTGATTAGGACATTCATTTTCTTTAAGTGAAGGCGCTGTCCTTCAAGGCTAGTGCTGAACTTATCTCTGCTGTAAACAATTTTGTCTTTAGCCATAATTACCTGTTATCATTAACAGAGAACATATTCAGGGGCATTAGCATAGAAGTGACTGCAGGAATATTACTTAGCTGTAAAAATGCTGCTACAACTCTGCTACTTTCTTCATCTGAACCAAGTTATCTGCTTTGGATAGGTCTAGGGCCATAAAATCCAGGAACAAATAAATATCAAATAATCCACAAACTAAGACATCTTGTTTAAACTGGAACTAAGAAGCTTGCTCTGTACAGAAGTGTCTTGTGCTTAACTGACTTTAGGGTCTGAGATATGAATTCTGATTCTAGTTTCTTCCAAAAGAAGGGTGATAATCTCTCTCCTGTATAGACTGTTTAGTACATGAGAGACTCTGTTCATAGTGAAGAACTTCCCAGGTTCTGACCTCTCTCTATGAAGGCATTCTTTTTGTTCTCTACTCTGCTGCTTTCACCTAAATTGCAGGGACTTCTATCTGAGATATTTAACCCTCTGTCATACTCAGTGAGAATCATACAACAGGATCAAAAGTTCTTCCACCAGAAAACAAAATTTACAAAAAAATAAAATCCACCAAAATCCAAACCCCAAAAAGAACACACAAAACCAAAAAACCAACCAAAACCAGTTAGGAAGTTAAAGCAACAGGAAGTAATGTGTCATACAGTGCGGGGACAGATGGAGTCACCCCCCCTACAGAGGGACTTGTAGTAAGGGATCTACATATGGTACTATACTTGTGGTATTTCATAACCTTATTATTCATAGATTAGGCAAGTCAACCATATCATACTGATCTAGTATGGGTCTGAGAAAGTCAACAATCCTTATCCCTTCATACAAAGAACTGGAGAGAACCATGAAGCTGGCATGTACTTCTTAGAAAGGCAGACACTGCTGGCCTGAGCAGCCCTGAAAGTCTTATGTGAAATAAATCTGTTTGTTTGAGGTATAGCCCAAATAACCAACTCTCTCTCCTTCCCAGCTGAAACAACTCTGTGCATAATGCTCCACTCACTACAGGTATGATCCTTGAAAGGTCACAAAATACAAGGCACAACCTAAAACTGTTTCTAGAATAATGCAGAAGTTTTGCTGAGCATACTTGAAATTACATGATAACCACTGTTAGTCTCTGCATTAACTCATTCTGTAGACATTGAACTAATAGAAAATCAAGAAAGATATCCCAGAACAGCTCCTGTATCATTATGTCACTTTTCTTGGGAGTTGGTACTCCTATGATTTATTCCTACATTTTTTCATAGTGCTTTAGACTACTGCAGTTTTCAGGAAATTATCTGTGGCTGAGTTTACACTGTACATAACACTCATCTCAGCACGTTCTAGATCATCTCTGAAACAATAAAAAATAGAATTCTAATTCTGCAGAGATCACAGTTGTGTTGTTTGTGGGTTCGTTTTTTGGGTTTTTTAGTGAAAGTGCCTTCAGAGCTGTATTAAGATCATTCTTTTTAACACAAATTTTCATTCAAAAATATCTCTAACATAAGCAGCAAGCAGTACAGTTCCATATGAGATTATCTGAAAGCAGGATCAAGAATGTGACTTCTAGCATATTTTACCACCTTAAGAAACCAGCATTTCTAAATCCTACACTCTATATCATTATAAATATAATGACAAATAACCTGTGTTTTTGTGCTCAGCTGGGACAGTATTTTTTGTCATCCATTAGCATATAAGTGGCAGAAATTTGGGTGATCCCCTCGCTGATTCATGCTTGAGGAAAGGAAGGAATGAACTGTGATAGGAGAGCACCCCCTCGTGATGGAAGGCTTAAACACAGCATTGCACATCTCAGAGCACTTGGGCTAGTTAAATGCTGGTGTATTTCTATTGTACTATGGTCACAAAAAGAGATTGATAAAAAAATTAAAACTAAAACCAAAAATATGTCATTTGATATTCAGTCTCTGTCCTGAAGATAGCAGAGGACACACTCAAGCTCATCCATAACAAAATGCCGGCATGAAATGCTGCAGGCAGTGAATTTTTTTCAAGGCAGTCACTCAAAATTCTTAAGAAAAAAATAAAAATAACCACTAAAAATCTCATGGCATGTTCTTTGTTTTTGAGGTTTGGCAGGTTGTGCTATAGCAGCAAATGTGTAAGACCCATATTTCACTATACAGTTAATATTCTAAGAATTACTTTAGTAACAGCTGAATTCTGAAGCATCTTAGAAGCTCAGGTAGTTCCTGTCACCCCATGTCTTTTAACATAAAAATAAAACGAAAAATATTTTTTATTTGTTTTAATGAAATATTTCATTAAAGAACATTTTTTCAAAAAAAGTGTAGCTAAGGCTATGAGACAGTCAAAACTGTTTAAGTCATGTGAAAAAAGCTAAGAGCTTAGAGGACCCTAACCCTAATCCAAGGACCTGAGAAGCTGCAGATTTATGTAAAAGGAAAACAATTGACAGAATTATGTCTTGGTTACACTCTTATTAAAGCAATATTGCCAGTAATGTGTAGCCATAAGTAGCAAAAGTGAGGCACGAATGAATCAGAAAAAGCCCTTTAATCATGTAAGTGCTCATTAATATGTCCATCAATAAGGACCAGGACCCCTCCCCCTTTTTAAAGGAATTATGTATTTCTGGCTGAGGACCAACTTGATTAGATGTTTCTGACTTCGGACAAAGAGCCTTACAAATATTTTTGGATAAAACAAAAAACATTTATACTTAAATTTCACTTGGTGTAAGTATCAAGACAGACAAACACAGTTCCACACAACAGGAAGTCCAGCCACAAACCCAACATCAAACCCACACACAGGAATGTCACCTCGCTGAAAATGTTCTTGTGTCATTGTGGCTTCAGGATCCCAAAAGCCAAAGTTTATCAATAAACCTGATGAGACTTGTCCAAATTCAGGCAAGCTAAAAAAATATCAAGATCTGCTGGCAATTAAAAAAAAAGTCAACCCTTCTACCAGTTAGGTATACAGCAAATAGAAAGGTGTTTACTGGAATTTCTGTAACTCTTCCTTCTCAGGTTGCATTCAGACAATTCAGTTATAAAAACTAGGTCATCGATACTGTACAGGTTGTTTTTTCAGACCCCTCCAACAATCTGAGTCTTTACAGTAACACAGAATCAATTCCTGAAAGCATCCAATTAAGCGTTACCAAAAAAAAATCTGCTTCTACCTTACAGCCTCACTAAAGTTAGACAGTTAAGGTTGTAACATAACACCAAACTGAGAGATGAGACACAAATACAAAGAAAATATCCACAATGCAAGAAATATGTTCCAAACATTTTTATTTAAAGCATGTGAAGGGTTTACTTACAACTCTTCTCCTTGTTTTGCTTTTCTGTCATTAACCAAATATACACTTCCAAAGCTTCCATTGCCAAGTTTCCTCTGAAGAGTGTATCTTCTTGCAATCACAGCATCTGAGCAAGCAGAATTAAATCTGGCAACAGTGACATGCTTAGCAGTTTCTTGAAATTTCAGCATTTCTCTGTGCAACAAAAACTACACAAATTTCTCAAGGGTGTAGCTTTCAAATCCTTTTATTCTTCCATGGATGTTCACAGAAATCACTTGAAACAGAAAAATATTGATTTGTCAATGTATTATTCTTACTAAACTTCTCATTTAATTCTGCGGCAGTGTTTACAGTACCCAGCTTGCAGCAAACACAAATTAAGTGGAATCACTAGCTGCTAAACTACGGGCAGCAGACTTGATAAACAAACTCCAGATAATGTAGATGTGACATAGTCAGTCTTCCTCTAAATGAACCTTAAATTAAGTCACTAAGCTGATAGCACAGTTCCCCTGGATATGGCACTCTTCCTCACCACCTGTCTTTATACCACTGCAGTACCTGACACCAAAAATATCTGCATTTCAGGATGTTAATTTCAAGATTTTTGTACATATTGAAGCATAACCTCCACTCTTAATTTGTCTCCCATCTCTGTTTTCTCTGCTCTTATATTTACCCCTCAGATTTCACCATCTGTTCCTGTGCTGACCTCACAGCTTCACCATGACTCACTAGTAGTATCTTCTGCAAATTAGTTTCACAGAAAATCTGCAAGACTTCCAATAAAACATAACTCTGCCCAAAGTTCATTTCTCCTTCACTGTGTCCTTCATGACTCCCCTTTCCAACCTTTCCAACAAGTTAGCTTTGGCTGGGAATTCTTGTCTAATTAAGGTCCTAATTCTGCAAACATAAGGACTGCAAAGGCCAAGCTCTGGCATTTCTGTGGTCTTCAACAGTTCAACCTGAGCTTAGAGTAACTTTGTTTGTTCAGCCTTCCTCATTCCAAACGAAAAAGGGGAAGTGTTTCACTGCATATAACAACATTGTTTTCATTACTTGGTCTTTATATAATGCTACGTGTATCATTTTGCTGGAATATCCTGTGGAGCAAGCAAAGGTCTTGCAAGATCAGTGCTGCTGTTACCATCCATCAGCACTGCAGAGCAGCAGGCCCACACTGGCCTTGGTCACCACATCATTTCAAGGCCAAGGCAAGCGCATAAAGGGGATTTTCATTGTCATGGTGGTGGCTTTGGAAGACCAAAGACAAACTGCCTAATTTTTAAAGCTGTACAACTTTAGGTTACAAGTCACTGGCTTCTCTGCCGAATGAATGCAGAGCCTAAATTAAGATTAAAGATTTGTATCTTGCAACAACAAACTGTGTGTGTGTGTAGGCACAAGAACCTATTTTCATACCCATCTGCTGAGCTGCTGTCACACTACACCAAAAAGCCTGACATTGCACTGTCACCATGTTATGAAACACAGAAAAACTTTAATTACCACAAGACATCTTAACAATACAAACCCTGCAAGTTTTTAAAACTACAGTAGACCTAATACTGTTTCTTTATTCTCTTTCAGCAACACTGACAAAAATTTTGAAATGCCAATGTTAAGGATAGAATGTTAGCTAGAAAATAATTTCTCTGTGACTCCAAATCTGTCTGAAGGAGCCCAAATGGATCATGTTGAGGTGTAGAGGAGGGGAGGGCAGAAAGATGAACTCCATAGAATATTATATTGCCAATTCTAGAAAGTTTATGCAGTTTTCATTTAGTGTTCTATTCTCCTAACTGCTGTGTTATGCATGCCTTCTTAAATTCCTTTAGAAATAATTGCACTTAGAAAAACTGCTGAGCTAGCTATACTAATTTTTTTTATTTCTGAAGTCACTTAGCTCACCTTCAAATTTTCATACTTAGTTGGGCCTAGAAATGTATGACAATCTTTACACCACAAAACCATGCTTAAGATCAAGTAGTTCACTGAGTTTAACTTCTGGGCTTTCTAAAAATGCTTCCCACCTTTTACTCTCTATGCCCCAAGTTCCCTCCCTATATAATAATAGTAATAATTATGTAACTCTGTGAAATGCTTTAGTGTCTGCTGCTGAAGAGTGTTATAAGGAAGGGCCAGCAATTGCCACTGTGGCATCACAGGCGCATTTTAATTGCACAGAAGAGGTGGATTGCTGAGCACTGCATCTGAAAGAAATGCCTTTTAGGAGCCAACAGACCTTAAAGATTGACTCAGCCATAAGACTGATGGATCCTTCAAGAAGTATATGAAACACAGCCTCTCCTACCCCACTCAAACCAGAGAGCCAGGTTGAGTGCTGATGCCAACCAAACTAATGCAATTACATTGTCTGCAACACTATTTTTTAATATTTTTTTCCCTGGCTAGAGTTAAATCTTCCTTTTCATGCTGCAAACTAAAGGAAAGTTGGTGGTTAGAGTTTCATAGCGCCACCTACACAGGCTGAGTGCAAACCATCTCAACTTCTTCCCTGACCTTTCTTAGTTTCTGTAAGAAAGATTAACCTTCAGGTTTCTTTAGCAACAGCTAAAATACTCTGACATTTTCTGCTTCCAAGATAATCCTTTACCAATCAAGGCCATTTTCCAATTTTATCAGGTTTTCTTTTTATCCCTTAAGAACCATTGTGTTACATTAACATTTGCCACTCTCCACCCCCCGCAGCACAAATTCTAAAGTCTTTAGCTCTAAATATCTTCAGTATTTACCACCTTGATTTTTTTTTTTTTGCTGTTGCTGCTGACTTCACCAGCCTTTATATGTTTTTAAAATTATTAAAAAAAAAACCAAAAAACAAAAAAAAACCACCAAAAAAACCCAAGAAAATTATTTTCTTTTTTTTTTTTCCTTCATGGAAAAAAAATATATATAAAATTAACTTTTTAGCACTGGCTCCATTCTTCTTTTCTGCAACTTCTTTAAAATACCAAAGGCTAAAGTGACATCACCTCACTTAGCTCAGTTTTTTACTGTTCCTAGAAAAATGATAACTAAATTTTATTATTAGTACTGGTAGCAAAGGAGTTTGAGGGTGATGGCAAAACGGGGTCAAATGTACTCGACCGTCAAATTTAGCATCTCCCTGGCGCACATTCGGGAAGCCGAGATCCCCTAGCACAACCTCAGGGGTGTTATTACCTCGTTTCAGGACTGTGTGAGGCTCAGAACACCAGCTAGCACCCACACTCCCGCACAGCAAGGAGCGAGGGCGGCGTTCCCGTTCCTCACCCCTCCGGGACGGGCGGCACTGCCCAGAGCCGCTCCAGCGCCCGTCCCGGCGGCGGGGCTGCGCTGCCCGGGGTGCCCCGTGTTCCCTGGGGCAGGCCTGGCGCTGGCAGAGCGGCAGCGCCCGGACTTCCCGGGGCTCCCGGCGTTCCCGGCCCGTCGCCAGGAGACGGCGGGCGGGAGGAGCGGCAGGAAGCGGATCCGGGATGGGAGGGCCGCGCGTGTCACTGCCGGCCCCGCTTCCGGCGCCATGGGCGTCCAGGGCCTCACGGGCTTCGTGGAGGAGCGCGGGGTGTTCTTCACCGAGCTGCGGGTGCGCGACACCAAGCTGGTCATCGACGGCAGCAGCCTCTACCACCGCCTCTGCTTCGCGCCCGACGCCGACTTCCGACGCGGCGGCGACTACGGCGCCTTCGCCGCGGCCGTGCGCGACTTCTTCGGCGCCCTGCGGGCCTGCGGCGTCGCGCCCTTCGTGGTGCTGGACGGCGGGCGCGGCGCCGAGGACAGGAAGCTGCCGACGCTGCGGCGCCGCGCCGCCGAGCAGCTGCGGGCGGCGCACGGGCTGTGCCGCGGCGGCGGCGGCTGCCTGGCGCCGCTGCTCACCCGCGAGGCCTTCGTGCAGGCGCTGCGCCGGCTCGCCGTGCCCTTCGTGCAGTGCTTCGCCGAGGCCGACCGGGAGATCGCCGGGCTGGCCAACCGCTGGGGCTGCCCCGTGCTCTCCCTCGACAGCGACTTCTTCGTGTTCGACCTGGCGGGCGGCTACTGCCCGCTGTCCCACTTCCAGTGGCAGAGCGTGCGCGCCGGCGCGCCGCAGGGATGCTACGTGCCCGCCCGCTGCTTCTCCGCAGAGAGGTTCTGCGGGCACTTCGGGCGCCTGAGCAAGGCGCTGCTCCCGCTCTTCGCCGTCATGCACGGGAACGACTTCGTGGGCCTGGAAGCGCTGGAGGCGTTCTTCAGCAAGGTGCGCCTGCCGAGGCCCTGCGCGGCCGGCCGGGGCGGGAAGCACCTCCGCCTCCAGGGGCTGCTGAAGTGGCTGGCGCAGTTTGCCGAGCCCGCCGAGGCCGTCGACAACGTGCTGAAATACCTCAAGAAACACCAGAGGGAAGAAATACGGGAGCTTCTGTGCGCTTCAATGGAGGACTATGCTCCGTCCGACGTGAATCTTGAGGACTTCTTTCAGAACGGGAGCTATGAGTGCGAGGCTGCCAGGAAAGCAGACGTACCGCAGTGGGTACTTGATGCTTTGGCGAAAGGTAAGCTGGCCCCATTCGTCATCAATGCCCTGATACTTAGAAGTACCTTCCTCCGCGTTCAGGTGGAGAACATGCAGAGACCCAGTGCTCATAGCACAGCTCTGCCCATCCGACAAGTTATCTATGGACTGCTTCTGAGAGTATCTCACAGTACTGAAGATGCTTCTCCGAGTAAGCAGACCAACGAGCTGCCCATTGTATGTGAATTTGACAGATGCCAAAAGACACTTAAAAAATCATTTGTTCAAGCAGCAAGCCTACCCCCAGATTTTTGTGATGATCGTTTTCCTTTGGACAAGTTAATGGAGGTAAATGATTGTCACAACAGATCATAGTTAACAGTGTTTCACGAGTGATAGTTGGGACACACGTTTGCCATCTGGCCACTAAATGTGATGTCTGAACCAAGCCACTTCATTTAGTAACTACTTAACACAGAAGTATCTGTGATATTTAAGAAGCTACATCAGGTTGTCTTCATCTCCTTTCCTTCCTGCTCCCTCCAAGTGTACCCAGACAAATTATATGAGAAGTTGTAGTGTGTGTGTGTGTGTATATACAATACTCCTTGCATTTTCCATTGGAAGCCCTTGTTTCATCCTTTGTATTTTGTTACACAAATACTTGGGTTTTTTTGGGGGGGAAAGAATTCAGTTTCGTGTAGTTTAGGAAAGTCCAATTTTTACACTACAAAACCTAATTTGTATTTGATCAAGCTGTATAATGTTTCAGAGCAGTGTTCTGAAACAAAATCTGACCCTTGCCTTTTCACTAGAAGTCATTATTTCAAGTGTGAATGTTGCAGCTGCCCAGCAGTTTTACCTGCCCCGAGTAAACTCCTTTACCTGCTCCTGCTAACATGGCTCTGATGCTTGCCAGACAGAGCAGAAGAGCACCTGAAAACCACAGGAAAGTTGTGCTAGACTAGTTCCAGTCACCACTGTAGCACTTTTATGTAAATTGTAATGATTAAGACTGCAACTCTTGCCATAATGGGAAATAATCTCCCATTCTCGAAGTTGCATAACTGAGATTTTGTATACAGACGTTTAAGGCACATAGCTCTGTCCATTCTGGCGTCGATTGACTGTTGACACATCTGTGCGTGGGCAGTGCTGAATGTTTGAGTCACTTGCTGGTGGCTCCTTTGTAGAGGAACCAAGTCTATCACTGCTGCACACCCATGAAGTGCTACAGATAGCTGTGGGTCCAAAGTACAGGTTATTTTACACAGGTTATTGGCACACGCCTTTTAAACAATACACAACACTTAAGAGTTTCAGAAAATCAAGTTTCATGTTAAAAGACATTAATGACACCTTACTTCAACCTTGGTGTGTGTGCTGTTTGTTTAATGAATTTGAGCTTTGCTACTACAACAACTTTCCTTGGTGAATATATGGGAATTATCAGTTGAACAAAAGGTTAGAAGAAGAAATGTTCAGCATTTATAGTGCTCCAGGCAAAACTGACTTCAGTTGCTCTACTGCTGTGGGAATGTCTGCCTGAGAGTAGGCAAAACAATCCTAATCAAGGTTTACAAAGCACTCAGATTGCAGCTGAACAGCTTGCTCCAATTTGGCATGCATGAAGTTATGGACAAAGTTGATAACACCATTTTCTGGGAGTTAAATGGCTCAGCAAAAAGGGAACATGTGGTAGGAATTAATTACTTACCAGTTACTTTTCTCTTTCTACCTGATGTTTAACTGTGTAATTTTTAAGTCTTAAGTAGTATGTAAAAAAATACTTCCTGTTCAGAACATCTATGAAACTTCAATAATTTTTAATCAAAAACCTATAGTGGTAACTAATTTAACCAGAAACTTATTGGTCTTTTAGAAATTGCTCGCAACAGATCAAGTCTCTTAGCTACAATTTTTAAATTTATTTTCAGGTGCCTGTTTCATGCTGTCAGATGCTTTTGCTGGAGACTCTGGGAGTGAAAATGAGTTTCCTAGAACCTATCCCAAGTCATTTACAGCTCCCTGTTGCTGTAACATGTTACTGGATACGTCGTTCAGAACCCAAAGTTAAGCTGAACCAATTAAAGGCTCTGCTTCTAATGATAGTTTCTGAAGAACTGCAGAGGATAACTGATGATCCAGGTATGTCTCTAAAGAATACAGTTTCAGGTGATAAAGCTGCTACAAAAATGCAGATCATAATTCATTTTTCCACACTTACAGGGCATTGTCCAAATTTAGAGGAATTAGCCTTGATTTAGACTATATGCTGAGGTGTCACGCTCTATGCATTGATATGCACGAAGAAAAAGTGCTAACCATCAATTTAACATTTTATATAGGTAAAACAGTACTTTACCACATTGCAAAACATTAATTTGCATTCATAAGTACTTTCTTAAGGATCAAAATATTAATTCAGATATAAAAGTCAAAAAATATGCTTAACGTACTCAGCATTAAAAAACTACTGTTGAAGCATTCTAATATTTTTTTTGCTTATGAGTCTTTCTAAAAACATTTGTACTTAAAAACGCTGAGTTGCCCAGGCACACTTTTTCTGCCTATGCATTGCAAATTTGAAAGTATTAAATAATCACAGAAATTGCTTCAGTAATATTTATACCTGTTAGGGCTATGGGCATTTCCTCCACGAGTCCTTTATTTGATGGCAAAGACAATGCATGCCAGGCTTATACAGTTTCTTTAGGTTCTGGTTTTTGAAACCAGACTGACAGGGTTTCCACATAGGTTGTAGTGAGATGTAAAACTTGTTTGGATTTGATCACACAGAACCAATTAGGTTGGAAGAGACCTCGGAGATCACAGAGTCCGACCCCTGACTGAGCAAACACCACCCTGTCAACCAGACCATGGCAGTGAGTGCCACATCCAGTCTTTCCTTAAACACCTCCAGGGACAATGACTCCACCACCTCCTTGGGCAGCCCTTTCCAGTGTCTAATCACCCTTTCTGTGAAGAAATTCCTCCTAATGTCCAAGCTAAACCTCCCCTGGTGCAACTTAAGGCCATTTCTCCTTGCCCTATCATTTGTTACCTGGGAGAAGAGACCCCACCCCCTCCTGGGCTACACCCTCCTTTCATGCAGAACCAGGGAGAAGACATATTGCAGATACCTCTTGTACTGTTCACAGCAGAACATTTATTTCTGAGTTATTTTTTTATTTATGACCTAGATCCCACCGTTCCACCTGCTGAAGATGACAGCTTTGCATATAACGAATTTCTAAAATGGAAGGAAAAGAAATTGCAGAATAACGACTTTGATTTAGATGCTGCACACAGTTTTTGCCAGTGGCAGTGCTGTCTTCAGATGGGATTGTATCTCAACCAGCTACTTGGTAGTCCTCTCTCTGAGCCAGACCTAAGTAGGTAAGATTGTTCCAGAGATCTGCTTTCCACACAAGCCCCCGATTGAATGAATGTATTAACATGTTTCATTTTCTCTGTCAAACTCCTTTGGCCAGTACTTGAAGCAAAACTCCCTTCTTTAAAGGAGTTATAAAGAAACAGCACTTTTTATACAGAAAAATACATTTAGCATAGGAGTTGGATATTGTATGTTTTTGTCATCAAGCAACATGTTTCTGTACCTGACCTATTGAGGTGCAATTCTAAATGCAGATTCTCTCCTTCTTTTGAGCAGGCTTTACACTGGGACCCTTGTGCACAGACTGTATCAAGAGCTTAAATCAGCACCTTCAGTGGAAAATCTGTTTCTCTTATCTCCAAAAATGGCTCAGCTTTATCTGGTTTTGTTAAATACAGTGGAGTCAATGGTCTCTCCAGACTTCTTTCAGATGACCAAGACCAGATCAGAGTCCTGCAAAAAGAGGAAAGCATCTAGTAAGAAAAAAACAGCCACCCAACGTGCTGTGCCAGAAACTCGGCATTTATGCAATGTTAATAGGTTTGCAGCACTGGAAGTGGATGACTGAAAGCACTATAACTTCTAATGCCATGCTGATGAAAGGAGTAACAGTAAAATATGTGACTGTATTGGAATTTGCTCAACTGTTTTCACACAAGTTCCTGATTCAATCTTTACCAAAAACCTTACTTCAGGGGATTTTTATTTACCTTTTTGTAACTTACACTTTGTAACTTTACATTTTGTAACTTACATTTGCATAAAAGAAATGCTGTCTAAAAGTTGTGGTGTTTTGTTTTTCTTTAAGGGTATCAGTCCAATTGAAAATGAGAGCAAAGTTGTTTAGCATTTGAAAGCAGGACTATTATAGAGGAATTCTTTTCCTGAACATTTATAGTTGGCTCTGCCTCATCTCCCTGAACACTTCATTTACAGAAAATCCAACTTTCAAGTTTGTGTTTGAGGAACACAGTGGTCACAGTCTAACAGTTGAGAGTAAAATAGAAACTGGCAGGTTTAAAAATACTGTAAAATCAGGCATTACTGATGGAGTACTTTTACTTGCAGGGAGAGGTAGCTTTGTTCAGTGACAACTGAGTAAGTTGTGCTTGCAGTATTACAGGTTCTGACAATACACAGGGAGAAACTTCAGATCTTATTTCTCCCCCTTCCCTCTGTGATGTGTTAAAGAGTTACATGCACACACAAAGCTGTCACATGGGAGCAAGTTTCTACAGGTTTGCTAATTCTCAGTCACTGTCACAGTAATTGTGTACAATCCTCTGCTATTAAAGCTGTTGTCACTCTTATTCTTTATACAATGGCTATATTAAAAACCAGACCTGTTCTGACTTCCCCTATGTACACTAATTACTTGATAAACCTTAGCTATCTACACAGTAATACTGAAAAACAGTATTTTTTTAATCCTACATCATCTATTCCTTAGTTCTTTGCATTAGCAAACTTTCCAGTATAATTAGTCAATTTATATACATACTTTTCTTATTAAACTATTGGTTTTCCCTATGTAAAACATAGTTACATTTGTGGTTTTTCTTCTCAAGAATCCACATATCTTTTCTGGCATTTAGGAGAATCATGACTTCCACCTCTAATCATCAAAGTTTTGCCCATAACTTAACAGAATTCAAGCCTGATTCCTGCATTGTGTGCTCAAGTTTTCAGTCCTGCTTATGCTCCCTGTTACCTCTGTTCCCATGGAAATAACTCACCATATCTTAGGATTTAGAGGCAAGATCTCCTATATTGTACAGCTGAGTGTTGATACTGCCCAAATATAGTCAATGAGAAAAGAATAGATCTATGAGATGTTACATTAAAGAGAAAACTATGTTTGAGATACAGCCAAGATGTAACTTTCTTTCCAGGACAAAAGCTGCTACTTGCTGAACTACCAGCAGATGGCACGTACACCCAACCACACAAGCCAGAACCTCACAACCCATTTCTCTACAGGTTTCTGTGTACAGCATCACATTTCCATCAGATGACTTTTGAATAAAAGTTGAAACAGGTTACAGTTACTGATTTGACTAACTAAAACTGAAATTCTTAATTGTCTAAACCATCCTCTTCTCCATTATGAGCCCATATATTTTATTTTACCAAGCTTGTAATTTCCTAAGAGTTTTTAATCATCAGAAATAGTCACATGCAAAATAAGTCTTAAATATAAAGATACGAGTGGATTTGATTCCACTTTATTATTCCTGGTGAGAAGAGAGATCTTCATTTACTCTGAATCCCACATCAGAAAACTGCTGAAGATTGTAAAAATTCTTGAGACTTGATAAGAAGTAATATTTTCAATTTGATCCTTCAGAAGACTAGAATAAGGTCAAATATTCTACTTTGAGATAAAAACACGCTATGACAACATGGCATTTTGAGAATACCTTTGGGAAAGCTGACTCAACTAAGAATTAATAATTACTGTTGTAGAAATATGTTCTCAATGCAGAATTAAGTTGTTCGTTATTGCTAATAAAATTATACACACTCATTGCAAAATCCAGTCCTGTAGGCTGAAGAAAACAATTACTGATTCTAGGGTTACCATGCAGAATTTAAAGTATTGCAGTTTTCCTTTTTGACTTATTAAAGGTCTTCCATCTTCTTTGTAGGAAAATTTAAAAATGAAGGGCCTTTACTTACTAAAACCAAATTCTTTATTCCATGCTTCAGTAGAAGCAAGTAAATTCCTCAGCTGTTGCTTATTTCTACCCCATAAGAAATGTCTCTTAATTTTTATGGGAAGTTCCCACTATTGATTCAACTGCTCTGGGAAAAAAATCTCTCAAACCTGCTGTAAAGTGGTAATGAATCACAAGATGAGCCAAAATAACTGCAATGGAATTCAGTCCAGGCATGTTTTATATATAATGACATTTCACTAGATTTATTACGTGTTAGTATTTTTTCCTTCCATTGGAAAACACAGCACCAAAACTTCTAGCAAATTTAACTGAACTACATTCAACTAAGCCCACCCTGCAATAAGGCAAAATTGTCCTTAAGAGACTGAAATTTTATTTGTCTAGAATGATGCATCTAATTCAGAAAGTGGGACTTGTGCTGGAAAAGGGGCACTTGGTAACACTTGTTTAAAGACTTGGCAATGATACTTCCAAGCTAAGACAACAATCTAGCATTCCTGTGTACTTACCTAGATTCTGGGACTCCAAGACCAAGAGCAGAGCACAAAGCAGTTAAATCCCATGGAAGAATATCAACCACAAGATAAGACATATTATGTGAAAGGTATAGCTGCTGTCCCTTCACAAAATCAAAATTTGTTCAAGATTCTTCATCAGCATGCACTGCCAGCTTTTACTATCTGTCTTTATTAATGAATACTAAGGATTTTATTAATGTAGTGTTCTGAAATTGTATTGAACTACTGAAAACGCTACAGTATTGAACAGCCACAGCCCTACTTTCCAAAGACAGTAATTGTTCAACAGCTGTCAAATTTGTCCAACTTCTGAAAGGCAGAACTGCTGCAAGTAAGAAACTTTCACTTGAAGACACAAGAGCATTTCTGTAAGAGGTCATGTTGTTCAGGCCCTCCCAGCTCAGTGGTAACAACCCCAGGAAGAGAGGAAGGCCAAGTGATCTTTGAGGGCCAACAGGATCTTTGTCTTTACACAGTCACATCTCCAGACATTGGTAGTCCAGGTATTATGGACATACTGAGGGTCAGGAGGAGCCAAGGATGAACCGCATGTATAAAGCGGACTGAATGGGTATTCATGCCCTGTCTGCAGCTCCATTTCCTGGCAAAGTCTAGGAATCCCACAGGCAAAAAGAAGAAAACAATTCCAGTAACATTAGCAGAGAAATTCATACTGCACCAATGTGGGCCAAGTCACAATGGCAAGTGCAGAAATATCCCAGTGTCTGTTGATGACAATTCCTCCTCAAATGACAGGATGAGCACTGTGACAGTGTGGGCCAGAACCAATGCCACTGCCACATTTTCAGGCTACAGTGAGGAGAGATGCACATGCACAGCTTTACAAGGGAAAGAGATGCCACTGTGTCTTTGACCTCCCCAAGCAATCTTTAGACATCCTCTTTTCAACATGCTTTAGGTGATAGTTCCCTGCATTTCCTGAAAGGATGATGACACTGATGACAACAGGGCAAGACTATTTTGAGGAAAAGCACTATTTCCAACTAGTGAATATTAGAGTATTCAGACATTGTAATATATTAAAATAATTTTACAATATCAAAACAATCTACTATAATGCTTTTCTAGCTCCAAAAGTAATTCTGTAGGTTAAAATTCAAGGTTACCCTACTAGGAAAACAGGGGTTTTTAATGAACAGGAAGAAAAATGAAGCTTCTTTGAGAGAGGGATGGGATTATTTTGCCCAGTGAGGAAATTGAATAATATATTGCATTAATTTTCTAATTCAGTACACTACAAATAATTTCCATATTACTGTCTTATAAATCACTCAAGTGAACTCACAGTCATAAGCTAAAGTCAATATGGAACTAGACATGAAACAAAGCCTGTATCTGTAATGATATCAAAACAAGCTTGTTCATTTGGTGTAAATGCCAGTTTCTTTTAAAACAAAGAGACAACAGAAGTATAAGAAAAGCAAACATTTACTTCAAATTGCAGTATAGGCTTTTCAATCACAGAAAAAGAAAAGAAAAACAGTGATCCAACAGCGGTCACATCCTGTGCAAAAAAAAACCCAAACTTGGGATACAAAAAAACTGTAGCACAAGGTACTTGAGCCGCTTACACATTGCAGGATAAAGTAAATAAATACAGTAGCTAGAATATGGCACTCTTGTGACAGACTCTAAACCCAGTGGAATGCCTCTGAAATATTTTTATCCTTGTATTAGTAGCAAAGTCCCACCACCATAAAAGTAGAATAGTACAATGCTTTAAATAAAAACAAACTAAAATATTTATATCTAAGAGAAGGATTTTACACAGTTATATCTTTTAAGTGCAGAAAATGGGACTTGGGCTTAGATCTTTCTTTAAATTAACCCCTGCCCCCTCCCCCCCACAATACCATTCAATCTTAAAAGTAAATTTATGTTTGAGGAAAAATGTTACCAAAGTTGCATAATTTCATTTGTTACTTCCACAGCTGGAAGTTAAATTCTAAACAGTCTTGAAACATGAAGTTCCTCATTAGCCAGTGAAACAAAGGACTTGTCAAAAGCCCTCAGGATTTCTTTATCCTCCAGATAGTGTTTTGCTTTCTCCAACATCTTTAGACAGCAATCGCTAAGTTTGCAAACACAAGAATGCAATATGCATCATACATCAAGAAAAGACGAAGTTGATGAAGAAGAACTTCCACGTTTCTGGATCTTTTCCTTGCTTCTTTCAAACTTCTTTATTAGCTCAGTCACTATGCACACAGAGGAAGTGAGTCCCAGAAGAAACAGTAAATCTGGAAGAGATAATTCGCCTTCTTTAAAATTACTATTTAAGGCTGAGGGGAGACTTAAAAAAGAAGACAACTTACAAGACTTTCAAATTTTCTCCCAATCATTGGAAAAGTTCAGGAGAAATGAAGCAAGATTCAATTCTTTGCAGGCCCAGAAGATTAACATGCATGGTTTATGCACAAATCATAACTACACACAAGATATTAAAAGCTTTTAAAGTATTTCATATACTTATTTTCAGCAAAATAATTAACTTAATTCTGAAAAAATAATATAAATATAATCAGAAATTATGCTACAATAAATAAATTTATTTAATTACAATCACTTAAATCCAGAAAACTACAGAAGTAATAAAACTTGGCCAACAGCATTACATATCTATAACTCTTTAAAATCCTCCTGTTTCTTTACCTTAAGACAATGCAATCAATATTAAAGGATTGGCTTTCTAAGTAAGGTGTTTATATTTAGAGAAAAAAATTTGTGAACTGGTTAAATTAGCAGTGCTCAGAAACCTACAAAGTAAATAATTTTGCCAGCAACAAAATTTATATTAAAAACTCCCAAATAAATAAGCACTTTATAAAAATTTAAGAACACACTGATCAGTTATGTACCATATGCATTTAAATCATGGTTCCCAAAGAAAACTTCTAGAGCAATTCAAAAAACTAAAAAAAAAAAAAAAAATCATGAAACAAAAAGCATCAGCAGGCTTTGTGCTCCTGTTGTATGCAAACAGCCAGAAAGTGCTCTTACACTTTTATAAAGTTATGTTCATAAATTAATCCTTAAAGAACAGTTTTGAAAAGGGAACAGTTCTTACCCAAGACACTCAGGCTCTCTGTTTGGAAAACTTTCTGAAGTGGAGGAAAGTAAATGACCAATAACTGCCCCATTATAGATCCAAGGACAGCATAGCAGAACATTTTGTTACTGCAAAGTCCAATCTCAAACACAGATTTTGTCTGTAAAAACAATTATATGTTACAAAGTACATGCAATCTTAACTATCTAGACATGAAACTACAATTTCTTTTCATCCAGACTTCTAGCAAAATATAAAATATTACTGTTGACCTCTTAGATAATCCAGAACAAGTTCTTGAACAGGCTAATTGTATTTTATCCCTGGTAAACAGAGTACAAGTCTTGTCTTCATAGTCAAGAACTTGTATATTGATCTCACTATTCTACAAGTACAGTTCACCAGGAAAAGGTTACCCCTACACAATTCCATAACAGATTAAGACTGCAAATTACAGTAAATGCAGTAATATATACTACCACAGAATTTCAGACTTGTTTCCTTAAAATGAAAAAAAATATTCACAGATTAAAAAGTACAGAACAGTCTCAGAAATTTTCCTTGGACTATGGGCCTTCAAGAATTTTCACATTTTGGTAAGGCTGCTGAACTGACAGAATTTCCAGGAACAGAAAAAAAAAACAACTAAGTATACACAGCAATACAAAGGACCATCACACTTCAGCTCTTAATAACAACTTTCTTGCTTTTGTCAGGACACCACCATGTAAACAAATTAAGTAATTAATTTATCTGTAGTTTAAGAATTACCTACCTATTAAATACATGAAACACTGAGCTTAACAGCAGATGTAAAGCAAATCTGCAGGAAAACACTTGAAACAAACACAGCAAGATCTTCCCTCAAAGAAAACTGATTATTGTGTTAATACTGTGTAAATGGACAGTATGAATCACTTACCTGAGATCTAGAACTCAAAGCATTGAACATATCAAAAAATACAAAACAGGTGAAAGTCATGGTTGTATCTCGTGGTGTTATTACATTGTCTCTTAACTGCCAACAAAATAAAATGAAATGGCTTTAGCATGCTTAAAACCCTCACAATTAAACAAAGTCAATTAAACAAAATTATTACAATAATTCTACAATGAGTTTTACCAGTTAGGGA